CGGAAAGAAATACATTTTGGAATATTTCATCAGTTCCATATGGGTTAATATTGATAGGAGTCTCAACAGAAGAGGAATCATTTAAATAATTAATAGAAGATGATATAGTTAAAGGATCATTGTTTTGTGCTGGTTCTTCGTGAGCGGAAAGAAATACATTTTGGAATATTTCATCAGTTCCATATGGGTTAATATTGATAGGAGTCTCAACAGAAGAGGAACCATTTAAATAACTAATAGAAGATGATATAGTTAAAGGATCATTGTTTTGTGCTGGTCCTTCGTGAGTGGAAAGAAATACATTTTGGAATATTTCAGCAGTTCTATATGGGTTGATATTGATAGGAGTTTCAACAGAAAAGGAATCGGTTAAATGGCTAGTAGAGGATGATGAAATATTTTGATATGGATTAACGATTAAAGGATCATTATTTTGTGATGGTTCATCGTGAACGAAAGGAAAGAAAGAAGGTAAAAATGATTGACTAATGGACATATTTTGGAATGTTTCAGTAGTTTCATTATGTGTATTGGGAGAAATAATGTTATAATCGTTTGATGAAGAGCATAATGCATTGGTAGCAGTTTCACAAGGATTAACATCGGGAAGAAATTGGGAATTGGTCTTTGGCCCACGTTTTCTACCCGATATATAAATACAATAAAGACTGTTATTCCTACAGTTTGCACAGATGCCTTCGGGAAGTCTTATGCATCTTCGATGACTCATGCGACAATTTGTACATGCTAGAGACGTATGTGATCTTTGTAGTTTGCTTAAATGAGACATTATCTTTATTAATGTGGATAACAACGATGAACGTATTTATAAAGATATTATACTATGTGTGGTTAATGACTGATGGTGCATTTACTCGAATCAACGCTTAATGCAAGATCTAATTTCAAGGTTTTAACAATTTATAATCACAAACTAATTATATTTATTAAAAAAAAAATTCTCAGGCTTGAAATATTGAGGTTTATATACATTTTGGACGTATGGAAATATGAACAGAAAAATATAATTTATATTTAAAAATTTAATAAAGTTTTGATACTTTTAGTCATACAAATAAAAAAATTTGTATGTGCAGCTGACACCTCGAGCAGGTAGTATCAAATCGTCAACCAAAAAAAAAAAGAGCTTCAATCCTTTTAAGGTGAGAGATATATCGGCCACCAGACCATTAAATAATATACCCCTTATAGATTTCATCGCTCAATATATACGTTTTTCAGAGGGGGAAGCGGGTTTTTATTGCGCTTTGCAAAAAGATGTGGCCTCTGCAGAACACAATGTTGTGTGAAAATCGGAGATTCTGTAGATTTTAAGAATCCTATGAATATAAATATGACTGATCGAAAATATGAATTAAATAGACGAAACTGGATGGATTTCGTCCTCGTGATAATGTTATTGTCCTAGCAGCTCTAATTTCACTACATGTTCTAGATGGGGCTCTCTTGCGACCAGGCCGATTCGACCGCAATATTTACGTCCCTTCTAATTTAAAAAGCCGGCGAGAAATTATTAAACTTTGTGCTCTCTAAGACATTTTCCTCGTTCATCATCACAAAAATCATGGGGTCACATCTTTTTGCAAAGTGCTATAATATATTTTGCACAAATTGTCGAAATTTGGCATGTTCAGAGCCATTATTATCATTTTAACATTCAATGAAGAGCGTAGGTGCGGCATTTTATAGATAATCTGCATGTACTGTACTTATTTTGTGCGAGTGATACAACCTAAAAAAGGAAATAGTTAATTAAATATTGCTCGAGCAATGATATTCAATTGTCTATAGTTTTCATAACCGTCTTTTGAAGGATAATCCTCAATAACTTTGCCTTCTAGTCGCATATTTTTAGGTCTTGGTGGAAAGGGAACAAATTTTCATTTTAAGATTAACTCTTTAATCGATTCTAAATTATCCTCGAGCCTTTCTCTTGCTTGATTAATTACATATGGTCCGCCACTTTGAAAATGAAAAGATTCCATTTCATTTCCTTTAACAGCTAATTCAGAGTAAGGTTCAGATTTATCAAAAGGATTTAATAATTTTGAAGCTTCAAGTAAAATGTACGTAAATACTGCAAAAGGAGCATCACTACCCCAAGGTACAGTATATTTTTGTTGTGCTTTACGAATTTTTTCATAATCGACATTTCCCACATTATGTTCAATTTTTTTCTCGATTAGTTTTGGATCGTACTCACAGAACGAGAGTAAAAATCTTTGAACAAAGTGCCTAGATATTATTCCTCCCATTTCAATAATTTTTTGAACTACAGGTACATTAATAAAATTTGGTCCGAAACGAATTGCGTGGAACAATGCATGTGCTTTACCGAAATGAGTAATTATCCATTTAGCTCTGCGTCACTTTGTTTGGAAAATTGGTACCAAACATTACAAACTAATATTAAATTTATTGGAAAACGAATATATTTAAAAATTTCAGCTTTTATATTATCAGGAAAACCTAAAAGATCAGGAATTCCATAGTCAAAATCATGGAGTGCAGGCTTTCGATTATTCATTTCAGTTTGATTATTAAAAATAATCATTTCGGTTTCGTTGGAAATTCCAGAGAGAAAAATTTCGTGATTTGTATCAGGATTTTTATCAGAATTTGTATCAGAGGAAGCAGATTTTTGTCCACTTGTTTCAACATTATTTAATAAAATTGTTGAGTCCATGCTTGCCCTATTAATTATCAATCAACGTCGTTTCCGATGTGCGAGCCGTTACTTATGTAAAAATAATTCATTGGCCGTATCTATGAGAAAATTTATTGCGCCTTATCTAGAAATTATATATATATTTAATCTATCAAAGTACAGTAGTAGGCTTTTTATAATTTTTAAAACCCTCGGCATAAAGATTCCAATTTTTTGTAAGATACACAAAAATGGAATTTGCTTTATAGGCATTTAATGTGTTACATTACATTGACATCAAATTTGGGTGGCTTATGTGCGTCGTATTTCAAATGAACACCCCTTTATGCATCGTTGTTTATTGATATGCATGCTTTATTTCCCTTTATTGGTTTTCCTTAAATGGAAACTGATCAATGATAAACTTAACGTTTAACGTTAAATATTGTGAGGGACTAACATGAGGTTGGTTCCAACGTGAGGTCAATTAGTATTTAAAGTCCGCCAACGATTAGTAATTATAAAAAATACTAATTGAACCTCACGTTGGAACCAACCTCATGTTGGTCCCTCACAATTAAATTCGACAATTTTAAAAACTTCTTGATTTCTCAATAGCTACTTGATCAAATTCGGTAAAAATTCGATATTTTAATTTTATACATTGTAGAATTAAATAAAACAATTTCATTGTATTTGGTTTAGTAGTTGTTAGAAATCATCGCGAAAAGTTTTAAAAAAAAATATCAAACAAATCAGGGTAAGTTTTTCTTTCTTTGAACTTTAAACATAGATTTCTCGACAAAAATCTATCCGAATCTGATGAAATTTTTTTTTAATTCTGTGAATTCATAGATTTAAAATAAATAAAGATTACTTGGCACACACCTGGTCAAATTCAACCAATTTTTTTATTTTAATTCTGTGTTTATATAATTGAAATAAAAAAAAATAAAAAAAAATTTAAATGAATTTGGCCAGGTAAGCTTTTTTCAAATTAGTGTGACCATCAAATTTTGTAGACCACACAATCTGGAAATCTGGAAGTCGGCAATTTGATATTTATATCTCAAATTTTTTAAAACTTTGAGCGAAGATATCTCGACAACCACTAGGCAAAATTTAACAATTTTTTTTATTTGAATTCTACTGATTCGTTGAGTTCAAATAAAAAAAGTTCATTAAATTTGACCTGGTGGTTGTCAAGAAACCTTCACTAAAAGTAAAAAAATTCAATGGAATTTTTCTTGAACTTTGTGTGAATATACCTTGACAACCATCAACTTAATTTTGATAAACTTTCTTTTTTATTTGAATTCTATATTGGAAGAATTCAGATAAAAAAAATTAATCAAAATTGATTGATAATTGTCGAGATATATTCGTTCAAAGTTTGAGAAAAATTTCTATTTGAGAGACTTGTGTTTTTTAAAACAGAGCCAAATTTGACAAAATTTTTTTTTTATTTGAATTTTATGGAGACATAGAATTCAATTAAAAAATTATTAAATTTGATTTAGTATTTTATGAAATAACTTCACTCAAATTATGAGAAATTATGGCACAGCTTCTGTTTTAATGGACAGTTTGAGTTTTTGAGCGAGGATTTTTTTTTTTTCTTTAACCCGAGATATCAATTACCTGGGGACGTCAAGTGACGCCATTTATTATTAATATAGAAAAGTATGTACAACTGTAGAAATCAACTATTTATATTATATATATACATTAGTAAGTTTTTTTCTTTTTTTTGTAGCTTTCTGTTTGCTATTGCTACCTGAATTTCTTTTATGATTCTAACTTTTCCAATGAATGGGAGTGCCGGTTCTGGCATAGTATTTTTCCTCATTCCTTGTTCGTATACCATACCCATATTTCTCATATTATGTTATATGGAGCCAGACCATTACTGAGCGTGGTTGGATACATATCGCATTGGATGCAGTTACTATTTCATCAATCGTGGCAGGTAGGGCCACTTGTTGCGTGGGGCTAAAAATTTTATAACTCAGCTCCCAAAGTTTTTGACTAATTCGACAATTAACTGAGAAGCGTTCTATTGTTTGCATTGGTGAGGGACACCAGGGACAATCTTGGGATTCTGTAGGTGCTACATAGGCTAGCCTTGGGCCAATAGGAATTGCATTGTGTAATAACCGCCAGAATATGTCCTTTTTATTGTTTGCAGCCCATTTTATGTGTGACCAGAGGCTTTTTTCTTTCAGATTACAGTTGCTAAGAAGATTGCTTTGTGTTAGTGAGAGTGGAACTGATGATGCTCTTAAAATTCAGTGGCTTTCACCCGGATCCCATGGTCATTGTTTAATTACAGCATTATGCGTATCGTCATATAAGCTTTTCCCAACTTTTCCATCTGCATAAAAACACCGATTGGGTCTTTTTTACTTTGTGTAAGATTTTGTTTACACAGAATCTGAGATTTTAAGTTTACCCAATATAGTACGTAAGTGATACATAGAAATATATGCTAAAAAAGTTAGGACGATTAATTTGTGAAATTAAATTAGAAAAATTTACTATTGAATGAACTCGGACATAGTAAGACTATAAAGAAATAATGTAACCTAAAAAAAAAGCTTTTATTGATGTAAATTTCGGGAAAAAAATATCATGATTCAACCGGAGTGTATGCGCTCAATAAATCGGTTAATAAATATCGAATGGGAAAAATTGCCTAAATAAAGAACACAAATGCATAACTTCAATGAACACACTGCGTTTCGTGAGTATACACAAACATATAATGTAACCTCATTCATTAATTTGCACAATCATCTGTCGTATGCACGCATGTACGTACATACATATCTGGTATCTGATACATGCTCATTCACATTCATTTATTATGACGGAGAGATGCGAAAGATTATAATATGTACTACCTAATTTTTCCTATCTTTGCGGAATTATAAGAAAGAATTGTACTCAATTAATAAGTTTAAAACAATTAAAATAGGTTAAATGAACGGAACAAATCAGCCAATTTTAAATTATATCATTTTAATATATATGATTGAAATTGTAACTAGTTCTCATTAGGTACAGTACATATACTGTATGATTATCGATAATTGTACGCCGGTCGAAAGTTCCGAGAAATTATGAATATGGTGGAACATTTGTGTATTGCGTCACAAAATTCATGCATCATATGATCGAATTCTTAACCAATGATTTTTTCATGTCCTACCTCATGCTGATAATGTTAATATTATAACTCCTCGGTTATTTGAGGGAAGGCCCTGGGTATTTCCCACGGTGAGAAATAAGAAAGTTATTCTTCGTTTTGTATAATGTCATAACGGTGGTTTAGCGACTTATAATTGCTAGTTTAATCAGTTAAAAAAATGGGCAAACTTCTGAAAACACTTGCTATTTCCCAGGTTTACCGAGGAAATAACAAGTGTTGTTGGAACTTTTATTTTTTTATTCTCCTGATCAAAAATCTTTTTCTTTTTG